TCGATACCTATTGTAGGCAGAGCACAGATAGCTCATTGTATAATTTTGTGCTGGACAACCAATCAAACAAATTCTACTTAACAGCTGTGTTCCCTGATGGGACAGAAGTAAGTGTACGGACTTATAACGCTAAAATATGAGGTTCAATTCCTCATGTTGGACGCAGCAGATAACCCAATATGACTTTGCTCTAAAAGAAACAAACAACTTTTTATCAATGAAACATAAAATAAAAATAGATGAAAAGAAGAAAACCCTTTGGATATAAAACTCTTCATAAAAGTGAAACATACAATCATACTAAATAGAACTCTTTACAAACTAGAGAGGCACTCAGCGGAGTGCATACCTCCGCCACGCAGCGTTGATCATATTCGGCTTTATAAAAATATGAAAATGTTTCCGTATGTCCGTCGTTATCAACGGACACGGACTTCTTTCGGCAGAACAATGAGGAATAAATAATATTCTACATACATATGTCCACCAAGTTTCATCAAAATTCAATCATTTTTGACTGAGTTATAGAGCAAATGTATTGTGAAAAATCAGTCCCCCTGTTAACAGATGGGGATTTTTTTATTTTCGTGACCTTTACCCTCCAAAAACTAATCATTTCTAAGTTGGGTCATTATCCAAATGCATACTAACTTTCATCCAAATTCATTCAGCCATTTTCGAGAAATCTTGTTCACAAACACACAAACAAACATATATACACACACATGGGTGAAACATAACCTCCGTCCACCTTCGGTGGTGGAGGTAAATATTGAAATTTATCACAAAATGAACGCTTTAACAATGGAAACAATTATAATTACAACGTACTACAAAATACAAATCACAAAGGAAACCACATAATATAACACCGGTCTTAAAACACTAAAAGTTACAAACAACACAAAATATAAACACTTTAGAAATTTTATTGAACAAATAGTGTCTTGTTTTTTGTTGTTTTTTTTTGTTTTGTAGGTTCTTTAGAATCATTCAAAGTCCAATCCACATAAACTATAATGATTTAGTTTATTTTCTTCTTTAACCTTTCTACAAACTTGAACATTTGTAGACTGTCGTAAATTGCTGTAGGCCTATGTTCCAAATGACATTAAATAACATAAAACAAGTCAACTTACTTATACGAAGTAACTCAATAAACGCATTAGCAAACACAGATTCAAATACTTCACGAAAACATATTGAATAGTTTAACTCTCTATCTTGATGATCACGATAAATGACCTTTAGCTTGGATCATCTATCTTCCTTGATTATGTAAATCATATCATTGATTATTTTCAGTACAGCATATTGCCTCTTCCAGCACTTGCTTAACTTAGAATTTATCTATTCTGTCAGTGGGAATTGTACTGCCATGGTATTCAGTCTTTTCAGCATTGACATGATAGTGATTTTTTATTTTATCATTAGCTGATTTAATTATTTCTCGGGTAAAGTCGTGTATGTCATTGATTGTGTTCTTTAATATATTTACATATTCAGTGTAAGACTCTTATGAATTAGAGTACAAAAGGCCCAATAGCATTGTCACTTCTCCTCCAAATATCAGTGATAATGACATGTTGTCGATAATATCACCTACTGCTGTATGATAACTCATCACTAACAGTGGAAGATCTTGATCTCACATTTTCTGATATTCATTCACATATAGTATTACTTGATCTAACAGTATGCAGTTAAAGAAGATGGGTGAAGGGTTGTTGTTCTGGTATTTTTTATGTCAAGGGTCCGACACATTACTGCAAACAAGTGTGATTCAGAGTAGAAAGAACAGAAATAAATAGCAGTAATAAGATTCTCGAAGAAACCTCTGCTTGCTAATAGAATTGTTTAATTCTAAAGAAAGAGTTAAAACAGACTAACTGTAGTATACTTTCAACGTTTATCACATGAACTTCACGATATTGTGGTTCTTGATTGAAATATCAACATACAGATGATACAAAAGTCGCTTAAAATTACAATAAGTATTCTATAACAATTGTATATAAGTGTTGAAAAACTTTTCAGTCTGAACGATGAAAATAGTTTTGAGAATCCATATTTATATCAATAACGAAGAGGGGTTATTTCTATACACGAACACACAACAAAATGTATTAGTAAAATATGGAATATGATTTATACACTTAATTCATCAGTAAGGCACGGTGCATACTTGATTAATCTGTAAGGCGCAGTAATACATACAAAACTGATAATAAAGTATGGTATGTAACTTAGACATTTGATTAATCAGCAAGATACAGTATACAAGCCCTCTCAAGAGGTTCAGAGAGGCCTGGGACACTTCTATCTTTTTAGGCCCTTGGCTATAATAAAAAAAATTATGGCACATGAAAACAAAATAAGACAATCTTAAGCCCCAAAGACAAGTAAAACATAATTATAATATTTTATATTTACCATATATTTATTAAAATTATTTAACATTTAATTAATGCTTTCCTAGCCTTTTTTGTGCATAAAAATATGTCGTGAAACTAAACAAATGCAAAAAACATGTCTAAATCTGAGGCACCCTTTGAGCTTCAGGCCCCTAACGGTATACACTTGAGTAATCAATAAAACACAGAACACAATTCCTTAAGCCCCACAGTGGCACAGCGATATGTCTGCAGACTTAAAATGCTAGAAACCGGGTTTCGATACCCGTGGTGGACAGAGCACAGATAGCCCATTGTGTAGCTTTGTGCTAAACTTCAAACAACAACAATTCTGTAATAAATATACGAGTATAGTATACACGGTAATTTTTTCCTCGTTTTTATTGCACACTAGACCACCGTGACCCGTTGGGTCAACCACTATTCAGAGGTTATGAAGAATTCAAGCTAATTTCAATATTGCACCGAAATGAAGGTTTATTTTGATATATTTAGATTAAATATTTCAATCCATTCGTGTTATTCATAATTCAAGAAAAGATATTTGATTGTTGATCGAAAGGAAAAGGAAAGACCATTTCATTTCTCAAAAAAGTGAAGTAAGAAGTTTCGTAAAGAGCGCGAACGGTAGTGTGAATGATTTTTTGACTGAGAAAATAAGCAAACAAACAAATAAACAATCTCAGAGTTTTAGCAGTATATAGATAGATTCTTCAAGATCTTGTTTTTGTCATCTTACACCTTGTAATGAAGATTGGACCATTGACAGGGAAATAGATTTGAACGAAGAAGTTTTGTAAAGAGCATGTACGGTAGTGTGATGTAAAATTACTCATGCTAGAAATTTTCATAAAAGTGACCTGAAAAACGGCACTAACTCGGTAACCGTGGCCTGATTTTAACGAAATTGGTTTTATTCTGTTTCTATTCTCATTTCATTACAAATATGGTGCTATTGTGTGCCATTTTTGCTGAATTTAATTACATACAAGCAAACAAACAATCTCAGAGTTTTAGTAGTATACAGATGAAACAAAGACATTACAGGAATTCAGTTTTTGTGCTTCAATGATTAAAGTTCAAACTCAAAGGTATTTTGGGATTCTAAACACACAACAAAAATATAATTCATGGTTAAAATAATGTAACAATATTGTTCAGCTATAATAAACACACAAGTAGAAAATAAACAAACTTAGTTAACAAACAAGCTCTCTATATATATATAATTTTTTTCTTTTTTTAATGATTCCCAAGGGATGTCCACATTTAACAAATATATAAAAATCCATTTGAATGGTCATGGCATATCTTCTTAAACAAAATTATGGGACACCCATAAATAAAAGGATTACAAAATATATCAAAAATAATTTTAAAAGACAGGTAAAATGCAAATTATATAAACAAAAAAATCCCATATAAGAATTCAAATTTCTTAAATAAAATACTCTTACATCTACGACCTATTTTATTTTAGTAGTACAGCCATTTGCTGCAGAAAAATATCAGTGCCTCTATCAAATCAGATAACAGTAATGCTAAGGTTTGTAAAGGACTTTTAAGCAGAAAGCTGATGGGGAGGGGGGGGGGAAGAGAGCTTTATGCTGGTTCGTTGGTAGAACAAGGTGAATATTTTTAAACTTAGTTTTAAAAAAACTTTCCTCTATGTGGTTATTGTTTTGTTTTTGTTTGTTTGTTTTTTGAATTGGAATAGACAGAATTGGAAATGAAGAGTTCGAAAAAATGAGATCGATGGTTTGGCCACCTTACAAGCTTGAAACAAAATCAACGGGTTGTAGGAGCAATCAATAGTAAACTATTTGACATGAGAGCAAAGGATGAACCAGAAAAAACTGTTTGAATAGAGGATGGGGATGGGGGTTTTAACATGCCACTGTCAACACCCACCAAACCCAAGAGAGTTTGTTTGTTATGGACTTTGCGCAAAGCTACACAAGGGCTATCTGCGCTAGCCGTTGCTAATTTAGCAGTGTAAGACTAGAGGGAAGGCAGCTAGTGATCACCACCCACCACCAACTCTTAGGCTACTCTTTTATCAATGAATAATGGGATTGACCATCACATTATACCACCCCCACGGCTGAAAGGGTGAGCATGTTTGGTGGGATGGGGATTCGAGCCCGCGACCCTCAGATTGTGAGTCATGCCGGGCCTATGTGGTTATTAGAAACTGTAACCATTTATAACAATCATCTCCCTTACCATTTATTTATTTGTGAAGAAAGTCAAAAACTGGAAGCTCAGATCATTTCATTTCTTTTTTTTTGTCTAGCCGTTTCCCTATATTACAGTAAAGTTTAACTTAGCTATTTCATTTTGAACAAGTGTTATATCGGTTCTTTTGTGGATAAACCTTTTCTGGTTTTCAAGACCCACATTTTATCCAATATTTTTTTTTCACATTTCTTTTAACAGTAAATTTAAGTATTGACATTCTCGTAGCCATTTGCTTTCAATTAATACTTCTTTATATTCAAAGTGAAATCAGAAATTTAGCAAAATTATGTTGTTGTTTTTTCTTATTTTACTTAAAAAAAAAAAAAGCTGAAATGTGTACAAAATTTATCCTATTTGCCTTAACCTGAGTTTACCTTTCTTTCCATGGTCTACTAAAGCTTTCTGGACAGCAGCAACAACATCACTATCTTGACACATGTCTGAAAAGTCCAGATGGTCTTTATGTAATGTCTTGGCTAGTTGTTGAAGTTGATTTCTATTAGGTACCACCAAAGCCACTAGGTAAGTCTCAAAACTATCTCCATAGACACAGAGATTATCAAGGAGTGTACAAGTTTTCAATTCTGTCTCCACTTGCCCCAATGATATGTATTCACCAAACTGAAGCTTTACCAAATCCTTTTTCCTGTCTGTAAAAATAATGGATAGAATTTATTAAAAAATGTTTTAGACTAAATGAAAGTACTATATTCCATCAGGTTTATGAAACCTTATATAAAGATATCTAAAGAAAAAAACAAAAAAGCAATTTAAAAAGTCATTAAGAAAAAAAATCAAATCCACTGCTTCAAATAAGATTTGAACTATGTTTTTATCTAATTCAGGAATATCAGTGAGGTGTGAATTATCTGAAACTTAAAGTTAAGAAAGCCTCAGCAACACAAACCTAACTTTTTAAATTATTTAAAAGGTTATCTAAGTGTGGTTTTTCTAACTTTTTAAAAATATTATGTTTCTTTTTACAACTATATAAACATTATTTATAGGTTTAACTAAAATGCAAGAAAAGATAAATATGTGTATAACACATAAGTTGGGTCTACTTCTTATCTGACTTTAAATAAACAGTTCACATGAGAAATGTAATAGGAACATTAAGAAATTTAACTTAATATTTTCAAGAACTCCTTGCAACAAAGTTAACTTTATATTCCATATTAATTCCAGTAATTAATCCATGGACCATAGCAAATCCCTTTCAAGCTGCACATAAAAGTGCAAAATATAAAAAAATTAATGAATTTTGGCTACATGTAAGTTTCCAACAGTGGAATCCTAACAGGTATACAAGATGCATAGCAATTACACTGCTGTCACAAGTCATATAGGTAAAGCTTTTGCTACTTCTAATGATATATGTCCTTGACATAAAATTCTCTACTTTTACTGATCTTTTTGTTTTTTGAAGTTGAGCTTAGTTCAGGAGGAAATCAGCTAGTTAACACTACTGACTCTTGGGCTTTACCAAAAAACAACAGTGGGATTGACCGTCACAAAATGATACATCCACAGCTGTAAGAGTTAAGCATGTTCAGTGATGGGTTTTGATCCTGCTACCCATAGAGTGCAAGTCAAAAGCCACTAGGCCCACCAATGATGTAAACCTGTACAAAATGGTTTATTAAATTTTTAATGTAGAGATACTGCACTGCATAGGGAACACCATTCTAGTTCTAAAAAATTAAAGCCATTCAAGCAAAATGTATATGAAACACCTAGCTAGTGGTAACATATCATATACTTAATTCAAAGACAAAGGAAATGTAGGAAAAAAAACTTTCTTCTAATGATATGAATCATGTGCATAAATATAACAAACAATCTTGCTACTTCTAGTAACTCAGTACTTTTAATGATGCAATTTGAAAAAATATACAAGTACACTAAATTCTTGTCATTTTCTCCGATTAAGTTTAGGCATGTATTAATAAAACTCTACTCACCAATAATTTTTATGGTTCCATCTGGATATATTTCCCCGATGTCTCCCGTGAAGAACCACCTTATTCCTTTTTCTTCTCGATAGCATTCTTTCGTTAAAGGTTCGTTCTTGTAATACCCCTTAGTAACTGTATCTCCTCCCACTATAATTTCTCCCCGAGGATTAGGATAATCTGTTTTATGGTAGCCTCCTGAGTAGTAATAATATACAATAAAGCTTGTTCAACATGAAATTGTTTTTAACCCTTTCACTGCACAATTAATTTTCAGACTGATTCCCAAAAAGTGTCAACTGTCCACCAAAAAATAAAAGTATGAATTTGACACTTTGTATTACTTTTTCAATATTTAAAAAAAAAAACTGTATATATATCTGACAGTAATATTCCTTGAAAACCATACTGGATAGTGAAAAATAATGATTTTAAACAAAAAATTAGAAGAAAAAGTGTTCTCCAGTAAATGGCATAAATATAGGAAAAACTAAGTCAATGAGAGGCCAAAATCATTACAAAATATAAAACAAATTATGTAGATAACAATATTGCGATTTATATTAGAGTTGTATAATGCACACCAAAGAGTTGAAAACGTTGAAGAAATAAAGTATATATTTCCACAAAAACTTTATTATTTTCTTAATTGTTTTTTTTTTTATCAACTTCATTAAAATTTTATTTCCACACTGTCACTACTACTTTTATGTCATGAATATTTTATTTTCGTTACATATACTACATTCTTTTGTTCCAAATCTAATAGTCAGTTATTTTATTGTACTACAGTCGTAAAACTGCAGAGTGTGAAACTGAAAATGTATTTGTCACAAACAGGAAACTTATAGCTAGCTAAACAGAAGAAGCAGATTTAAAACAAATAGTAATAATTTTAAGAATTGTCAAGCGAATCATTTGATTATTGTAAGCTGTATAAAGAAAGCAGATATCAAAAAATTTGTAAAACGTTTATATAACACTCCTGTAAAATTCTGTACCAACAATTTTCTTCTACTTCCCTACGAGCAGATGTATGTGTGAAATCAAACAGGAAATTATATTTCCAAGATTTTTTAAATGTAAATAAATGTCTTCAGTACATTATTACTGCAAAATAGTACAATGACTTATCTCCTATGCAAACAATTATTTCATGCAACACATTTTGAAAAGTTAAGCCACATACCTTCTTCCCAATCTTCTAGACGTATGTAACATCCCATTAATGGAGTTCCAACACGACCAGTGCTCAAATCATCCACTAAAGAAATAACCAACTTTTAGTACATAAAACCATTGCAATATATGTTAAATTATGTAATACATTTATAAAAAACATTTTGTCTTTTTTAAATACATTTGCAGCAATAACAACAACATACTAAGATCTGGTTTTAGAATTTACTAACTAATTTAATTCCATTAGCAAATAGAAAATAAATTTGACCAAATTGGGACAGAAAACATAACTATAAAAGAAAGTAATCAATATTAAATTAATGCTTTAAAATAATCTTACATTCAACAGCTGCTACTTGTGAAGGCTTTTCCAATGCATGAAAACCAACAAATTAACTGAAAATAACAAGAGTATGAACTAAACCAGTTTCTCGACTCTACGTTATTTAATAAAACAAGAAAGAAACGTTAAAAAACACTTACAAGCCATAGAAGTTGCTCCTGCTGCAGTCTCTGTTAGACCATAGCCCTGGATAGTAGTTTTGGACAGAGCTGCTCGGATAAAGTTGTGAGTGTCAGGAGATAGTGGGGCTCCACCACTTGCCACAAACTTTACTCTTCCTCCTATCAGTTCTCTGACTTTCTTGAAAACAATTCTGAAACAAAAATAACTGTTTTATGAACATACTGTTCAAAATCAAGGAGTTACTGTATTTTACAAATACAAAATAAAGTGAAAAAGGCACTGGCCCTGCATGCATATACCCAGTTAAAATCCTTGTCTTAGAGAGATGTACTTTCACTGTGTCTAACTTTTGTATAGTTTAATAAAAATCCTCTGTAAATTGTAGGGTATCAGGTTGATTACACTTTATGAATAGATGCTCATTAAAATATTAGGATATTTGTGTATAACAGTAAAATATGAAACAAAAGAGTGTACAGCTGTTGACTAGAAAACTTATGTAACTATATAACTTGAAACAAATAATAAATAAAACTAGAGAGAAAAGTAATGATAATGCATAGAAACAAGTGAAAAATTGTTCACTGGCTGGAAAAAGCAATATTAGTTTTTAAGGTGTAAAATCCTATACACTACAATGTAGACAGCATTCATTACATTTCAAACATCAGATCACCATTATCTATTTAACTTACTTGAAACTAACATTACTATTTTTATCATTCTATTATAAAAGTACCATGGGTTAATGTGAAAAAATGGCAAGAATGGTTTCTACATTGCCATGGAGTCTGCTAAGTGAGTATGGTGTACATATGTTGATAGAATTTTATAAATTTTCCCATTTATGAAATAAAGCAATTGGTTGTACAAGATGTTTTGCAGGTTCTAAATATATTTTCTAGCTTTGAACTAACTGAAGGGTGATTATATATTGAAAGTTCGACAAACATGGCAAAATGTCCGATAGAGACAAAACTTACACATTCAATAAAGGTGTGTCAAATCCCCTGGTCATCCACCACACTTTGTATTTTATGGCAAACCTGAAAAAGGCTTTAGAAAAGTCACCTTTTCCTTCAGCTACTTCTGTTACACTTTTGCGAATTCTGTCTAGAATAAGCTGAAACACAATAACAAGTAAAAAAGTGTGCATGCATGTGTGTATACAAATACATACACAAATATACTGTTTCAAGAGTAAATTCAATAAATTCTTGCAAGCAAGAACAAAAACTATGAATAACCTTGTTTGTAACATACTTTATTGAACAAATCACACAGTTTAACAAACTCTACAAAACCAAATATACTACTGTGAAATATTCACATATATTCTACAAGCTGAAACACCCGTCAACTGATGGGGAATGTTTAAACTTAATTAAAACAATACAAGTTTAACAGCAATCATATGTAACTTGAACATAAACTTTATTTCAAAATTATAACAAAGTTTCTTCATAAACAACATTTGCAGTTTACTTTCCATCATAGAATAAAATTTAAAATCCCTCCTAACTGTTCTTTCTTTTTCTTGTATTTTAGTACATTTAAACCAAATTATTATAAATTATAACTGTTTAATTTCTGAATCTAATTTCACTCTAAAAAGAAAAGCTATATGTAGCACTGGCCAGCCACACAAGTAAAAGAATAAGACCACATTGGGAGTAATTAAATATTTGAAGGTACAAAAAATCAGAGAGCTGCCACATGTTTATTCACAAAAGTAAATTATTCAAAACTAGTAAATTATCCATTTAAATTCATGGGAAACAACAAATGTACAATAAAAATACTAGGCTT